GGAAAAAAATGTTTATTTCTTTAATTATGATGCTAAAAAAGGCCACAAGAAAAGGCCATCTGGATCTGAAAAACATATTGTATATTATAATCAAGTTTTAATATGATTTTGTCGCTTGAAAAAGTAAAAAGTTAATCCTAAAATGAATTTTTTCTAATATCCATGGCATGCATATCTGTTTGGGTGAAAAATTCTCTTTTATACCTTTATAACTTATAATTAAGTTGGGTATGTATTGCAGTGGGCCACTTTGTGCAGAGCATTTTTAGTAGAAGCACGATGGTTTGCTTCAGGGAAGTTGCCAAAGGCGAAGGAGTACTTGGAGAATGGGATCACTAGCTCGGGAGTGCATATAGTCCTGGTTCACATCTTCTTCCTCCTTGGCCAAGGCTTAAATAATCAGAATGTGGAACTCATTGACAGCAATCCTGGCATGATATCATCCACTGCAACAATCCTTCGACTCTGGGATGACTTGGGAAGTGCCAAGGTAGAACCTCAACTGGAAATCCACATGCAATTAATCAAAGTGTCAACTCTCGTTTGTTAAACACGTTACATTTTATTGTAGGATGAGAATCAGGATGGGAACGATGGATCCTATGTTGATTGCTACATGAAGGAGCACCAAGGCGTTGAACTTGAAAGTGTCCGGAAACATGTTACCCATATGATTTCAAACTCTTGGAAGCGCCTCAACCACAAATGCCTCTCTCAAAATTCATTTTCGTTGTCTTTCGCCAGGGCTTCTCTAAACATTGCCAGAATGGTACCCCTGATGTATAGTTACAATGAAAACCAATGCCTTCCGAGCCTGGAAGAGTACATGAAGTGCCTACTCTAGGAAAGTGTACCCATGAAAACTCTTTTATGAATGAACACGACCTTTGCCTAACAACTCTATCTTGGAAACTCCTGGCTCTTCATGCCACATATATTTTCTCTGGATCATGGTTAATTTCAAGTTCAGAAAATTATATTCAAACATTATTTGTAGTAGCTAAATGCTCAAATTGGATCTAAACATTTGGATATTTTTTCATTAATAGCCAAACGTTTCAATTATAATAATAAAAGATTAAATATTTTTGATTCTTTATAATTAAAGGTTAAATTGATAGGTAGATGGAACGTGTATCATACGCGACAGAAAATCAGGTGAGTAGATGACATGACAGCTTTGGAAAATGTAGTGTTATATGTCATATTTTAAAAATTTAATTGTTACACATCATGTTTAAAATTTAGTTGTTACATGCCATGTTGAAAAATTTAGTTGTTACACGTTATATTAAAAATTTAGTTATTACATGCTATATTGAAAAATGTGGTTGTTAGACTCTATATTGAAATTTAGTTAATATATGTTATATTAAAAAATATAATTATTACACATCATGTAAAAAATTTAGTTGTTATATGACATATTGAAAAATTTAATTATTACACGTCATTATAAAAAAATTATTGCACATCACGCCATAATTTGAACCGTTTTAACTTGATTAAAAAAAACTTTCTAACAAAACTCCGATAACTATTTTTAATTTAACAAATTGCAACAAGATGACAGTGATAAGAACCCATAAATAGGTGACCCCTGATAAGCTAACCGTGAGAGATATCTAGCTGGATGGTGAGACTATGGAAAGGGAAAATGATCGGAGAGGAGAAGAAGAAGTGTGTGGGTAATTTGGGTCGATGGTGGAAAAACTAAAATGATGAAAAATTTTAACCGATGGGAGTAATCAACTAGGGACAAATAGAGTTGTTTTTTGCCAGGACAATACGACACCATTTGGCAAAAATCTAATTCACTTGCCACGTAAGAGGCAAAAATCCAAGCAATGTCCATGTCATGCAGATATCCTACATGCGCCAGACACCTCCTTCTTTAGTCCTTAATTAGTAAGAAATTGAAAACATTTGGCCCTTAATTGTAACAGTTAGAACGTTTAACCCTAAATTAATAAAAATTCAAAAATTTTAACCTTAAATTGAGCATTTAGTCTATTTGTAACTACCAAAAAGGTGCATTTAATAGAAACTTTTAAAAGTTTCTTCAAGTAAACAAGTGAAAGCCACATATTCTAAATTTTTACCATGTGCATCCTGAATGTAATCAATGAGGTCTAGGGATTTAAATGGGTTTTTGTTATAAAAATATCCATTGGTACTCAATCCGATGACATAAGATTTGAGTATATTATATTTGGTTATTAGGCGAATTCGGGTAATGCTTTTAATTCCCGACTTAAATTCGGGTAGGTTTTGGATGCCACTCTCACTCTCAAGATACTCTAAACTCAAATCCAATTATACATACATATATATATATATATATATATAATTTGTAATTTGTAAGATATAAACCTTTACCCTCCTTAACCTTTAACATAATCTTTGCCATCTTAACTAATTTTTTAATAAATAATACATATAAAATTAATTATTTTATATGATTTTTAGTTATTTAAGTTATTATTTGAGTTATATAATCGGATATTTAATGAATTTGAGTAATTAGTGGATAGTGCTATATTATTAGGGTTCAATTTTGGATAGTATTTTGTGATTTTATTTGAGTTTTAATTGGATTTTAATACTCTAAGCCTTGACTCGTTACTTTAATTATTCATACTAGTTTGATAGAGCCATTGGCCATTTCCTAAGATGTGCCTAAGGAAAACCGAAACCGAAAGCAATTAAAATTTGCAGTATTTGGCAAATGATTGAAGCTGGACATACGAACACGTCTTAAGCAAACATGAAACATGGCTAAATTAATTTTTAAAAGAATAATTTCTATAGATTCCATGGCAAATTTAATTCACTCTTTCTTCTTTTACATGCGTATTCCTAAAAGTTGTTTATTTTTTCCCCCTTATTTATAAATGATTACAAATGTTATTCAAGCCAGTTATGCAACGTACATGTTCTTGATTTCTGGCATGAGCATCATGAATGTAACTAATGATTTTTATGAATTTGGGGATGTGAATGTGACGGAAAGATCTAAATCCTACGGTTGTGACTTGTCAACTTTCAGTCTTTCGTTGATATTTATTTGGACTCGTGCAATGTTATGTGTGCCACACACTTAGCTTACTGTTTGGAATCGAAATTAGAAGATTTATGCTGATGGATACCTGTACTCGAACATTTTACATTAACAAACATATTTCTTTTTCTTCTTTCCTACAACGTTTTCCATCCACATATGTGTTTCACAGTATTTGAATCGTGTATCCATATCTAATCTTGACCTTGAATTCATGCATATTATTTAAAAGAGGTAAAATCGAATCTCGGAAGGCAAATTCTTGGCATTACCTTTTGCCTATGCAGTCAACCTTATACACCTCATATCTATCATTCACGGCTTTTGTTAGAACACTAAATTGAAAAACTTAGAAATTGGCTTCAAGGCGTATATCAATGCCACTGTCCTTAAGGTTTTATTCGCCCCCACTTGTAGTGTATAAAAGAGTTACAGACGTATAAACTTCGAAGATACAATGAAGCCCAGTAATTGATGACGTTTTGTATTGACGAAATCAATCCATTGAGTACTCACCGGAGTATAACAAGATTATCAAATTTCTATAATATTTTTTCTGCAGGAAAATAGTATAGAAGAAAACTTGAAAGATGTTTGAGGAAGAAGAAGGAGAGATATTACTGTTTTTTTTATATACATTGGATAAGGAGGGTCTTATTTATAGGCATAGATGTTTGTTCTCAACTGACACTATTTGTGTCTGTTTCAAAGAGTTACTCCTATTGGTCTTTTCCAACAAACGTGACTCTTTTCTTATTTTTGTTTTATTTTATTTATTTACTTTATTTTCAACAGACATAACCCTTCTTTTGGTTTTAATTTCTAACTGTCATAATTTTCCTTCTATTTCGATACGAAATCATATTTTTTATTTGAAAATGTCCAACAATCCCCCACCATTTTCAAATTAATCCAAATTTTTTGATAATCTTGAAAATCAATTGCATAAATGAAGATGTCTTCCGATTGAACCTTCACTTAGTGAAAACATATTAAAGTTAGCCAAAATTGGGTGGTAGACTATGCTTTGAACCAGCTATTTCATTTGGTTAACCGAACACATTTCACACAACGATTTCAACACCAGTGAATGCACAGTATCCGACGACGCTTTTATGGCCATGCGTCCATATTCTCTTTTCATGAGTACTGTTAGAGCCAAGCTCTTGAACT